GTCTTTGGAAAAGTACTGCTTTGTCATTTCCCCAGATTATTCGCCACCGGGGTTGACACCTCTCTCCCTATTTAAAGATTTAGCGCCTGTGTCCAGTTTGTTCTTCAGTTAATCCCGTCGGTGTTCCCTGTTGGCCCTATGTCGGGTGTCAGCTGTGGAGGTGCTGGGCTGGGTGGACGTGCTGTTTTATGTACAGTGTGAAACTTGTACAGCCGTTATTGCCCTTGAGGAGTTACTTGGGCCCAGAGATCCGTCTGCGTTTCTGAAAAAGGTATTATCGATGGAAACTGCCTGGGAGAAGGCAGCTATAAATTACTGCCTGCGTATGCAATGCAGTTTATGGATTAGAACTCCTACTTCTGTTGTACGTCCTGTAGCGCAAAACTTGGTGTGTCTGTGTGCGTTCCTTGAGTAGGTGGCAAGACCACAGAGTTTTTAACTCTTTCATCGCTGTGGAGCTGCTCAAGCAGCAGATTCGTGCAGATTTCTTTGTTTGTTTTTTTTCCCCCCACATATTAATTTCCGCACCTTTCCGTATCTGGAAGATATGCTTTATTCATCTGATATGATTTGTTTCTCATTTGCTTGTTAACTTGTGCCGCTAACCGCGCCTCCTCACACTGGTCTGACTTACCCTTTGACCTCTGACCCTCGTGTCACCCCTCTCTCCTTGCCAGGGGGCCGAGTCTGCTCCTTCTCGCCCTGCATCGAGCAGGTCCAGAGGACGTGCCAGGCGCTGGCGGAGCACGGGTTCGGGGAGGTGTCCACGCTGGAAGTGCTCCTGCGCCTGTACGACGTGCGCTCGGTCACCCTGCCCCTGCCGGACTTCGGGGACGAGGCGGGTGGGCCCGGGGGCGGCGCCCCGTCCGCCCAGAACGCCACCATGACCTGCAAGACTGCCGTGGCGCCCAAGGAGATGGCGGGCCACACGGGCTACCTCACCTTCGCCACCAAGAGTCTGGTATAGCCGCAGGCCCGGAGGTCAGGGCGCGATGCGGCCTCTTTCTCCCACATCCCGGGGACCCCTGGCTGCTCGGAGGACGGGCTCGGCCTTTTTTATTTTCTTTTAGCTTCCGTTTTTAGGATCGAAGTGGCCTGGCGCCGGTCTGTGCCGGACCCCTCTCTGCCCGCCAGCGTTCGCCCACGGGAGATGGAGAGCAGCAGCAGGGATGGGCCGAGAGGGGCGGCCAGCGCACAGACACGCGGACTGCTTCCCGAGGAGTTCCATACATAGCCAGCTAGACGGGGAGCAGAGTTGTTTAAACTGCGAGTGGAGGATGTCAGCAGCAATAGGGCTGGCTGTTTATAGATGTTTAAAGAGTGCAGCAGGATTAATGGCACACTGTCGTGCCGCAGCAGCTGAGCTGGACTCATCGTGAACTTGAGTATTCATCACACCGGGATAAATACTTCTCCATCCTTGGCCTCCTTGCACACTGTAGCTCTCTCTGCTCCGTTCTCAGCTTCATGTTCTGTTTGCTTGGTTGCCCCTTCTTTAATTTAATTCACCCATGACCTTTTTTTTTTATTATTTTAAATGCATCTGTTTTGTGGCCATGGCGTAAAAACATTCAATGTTTTTTTTCCCCCCCCAAGGTGAACAGCATTTTTCTTTGTTTTTACTTTTAACTTTTATCAGATTGACCCAGTAAAGTGTTCCCAGAAATAAAAGTGAACTGATGGTCTCGGGCACAGTGGTGGTTTCATTTACCGAGAAATTTGTTTCCTTATCACCCGTTTGTGTTTTTTCGATGAGGTTAACTTTGCGTGCGCAAAGTTGAAGAAAACGTAGAAGATGGAAGAGATTCAAACTTGGCTGCCCCGAGGCACAGCGATAATTCTCTCAAGGGGGGGATGGGAAAGAGTAGGAGCGCTGTCGCCAGAGGAGTCTCCCTTTTTGGCAGAGGGGTTAAATGCCAGGTGATGATTTTCTCTAGTGCTGTGTTCCACACTCTCTGCTGTGAAAAAGATCCCCAGAAATCTCATCACCTCGGATTTATGTCAAGTCAGGGTTTTTTTTCCCCCACTCAGAGTGGAAGAGTCATTAACTTCCCCATCTCACAGAAGTGAGCAGCAGGTTATGTGTTTCAGTTTGGTTTTCAAAACTAGTCAGAAAGCTTACCATTTTGAAATTTTGCTTGGGCTAAGCAAAGTTGTTTTGATCTTTTTTTTTATTTTTGGCGTTCCACCACAAGGTCAAAGGTTCAAAAGAGTTTTTAATTCAGGTCTTCGTTTTCTTTAATATTTGATTTAGTGACTTTTTTTCGATTTTGGCACTTGATTTTATTGGTCGACCCCTTTCGATTTTGTTTGAATAAAAGGCTTGTTAACAGTCAACCGCCTTTTGAGCTCTCTCTAACCCTGAGCCCTTCAGCCTGAGCAGTCTAAAAATGAAGATTTGCATTTGTTTCCCTGAACCAGTGTTAAGAACTGGGTGTGGCGCAAATGCGGGCTGGCAGGGAGAAATGAGCCTGATAATTTGTCGCGGGACAACCTGCTGATTAATGAAATCCCACCACTGATGAAACACTCATTCCCGTTACAGCCCAGTGATGAATTTCCTTATCAACTAGAGTTTTGACCCCCGACTGAGGCTCTTAATTGTTTTAACAAATGCTCATCAAATGTCCTGTTTCCCCGTTGGAGTCTCATTGCCAAATAAGGCCTAGGAATGGCAGGCCTCCTGGGTGTGTGTGTCTGTGTGTGGAGGAGGCTCAGCACTCCGCTTCTGGGATGGAAGACGTCTTGCCTGGCTCATAGACACATCCCCCAACTCCTGGCAACGCTAAGGAAACCTCCCAGCAGGAACACAGGCCATGGAAGCGGAGCAAGATTTCTCTCTGAAATATCACAGAGACGGAAAGGTTAGCCGTCTTTGTCAAGTTTTAAAGCTCCTCGATGCGCCACAAGGGTTTCAGTCTGTATCCGGGGTTTTAGCTGTGTGGTGTGGCTCGTGATCGCCTGACCCGGACGCTTCTGAGTGGTCTGACCCGTGGGCGTGAGATCGGGCCCGGTGTGGCGGAGGCTCCTGCCCTGGCCCTGTCCCTGCACTCCCGCGGCCCCGGGGAGATCCAGCGCTGGTCAGGTTGCGCTCCGTCCTGTGATCGCAGCCGGGGCGCCGGATCAGTAAAAAGAAGCTGGAAGGCGGGGCTGGGACAGGGAAGAGTGGCCGTGAGGGCAGTGGGAGCGTGGATAATCCGCCGCAAATCCCACACGAGCTGAGATCTGAGGCTGTGCCGACGAGGAGTAGAGGCGTTTTTAAGAACTGCCCTTTGGTACCCATGTGGAAGGATCTTTGTTTTGGACTGTCGGGCATTGATGGGTCTTGTTTTGTAGTCAGCTTTGGGAAGTAAAGTAACCTTTTTACACCAGAATCACGACTCGCTACTCCTAGATTTATCCTTGCCAGCATGTGACCTTTGCACGACACCCACACGTTAGCTCTGACCTATTAGCTTGTGTCCTGGAAAATACTGCGATTTACAGAATCTTTGTACTCCAGGGCACATTTTATCTCTTCATCTTTTTTTTTGGGAGGTGTCCTAACTGGACAAAATGTTGATTTTTTTATGTGCTCTTCTAATAGAAGGCTCGTTTGGAGGAAAAGAGGTAGTTCTTATGTTTTAGCTGGATTTTATTAGAAGTTAGAAAGAGCAAAACACTTTGACACTTCAACCGAAAGCTTTGAAAATCCCCTGTACGTGACATCTCCTAAGCATGCTTTGTAAAGTGTGTGCTTCTGCAACTGTCTACCTCAAGCACAGACATCTGCGTAATTACAAAACCTCTCTGATTAGACTGTCTGCGGTTTACCTGAGGGTCAGCAGATTTAAGGGCATCTTTAAAGATTTCTTTTCTTTGATTAAAACTAGCCTTCCCCAAGCCCTGCAGTGCTCTGCACTTGACTGTAATCCTTGAAAAACGAGGCACGGAAATCGCAGCAGCAAAAACTAAACCGCTCAGCGGATTAAAGTGCAAAAGTAAATCTGGGAAGCTGTATTCTTGTGTCGTTATGTTTGTGCTTTAAACCCGTTACACAAGAGCCTCTGGCCTGTGTTCGGTCTCCTCCGCTGATTCAGAATTTGACAGGTTTTACAGAGGCCGCTTACAAAGCCTGTAGTCCTTTGCAAAGAAACTGTACTGAAACAATTGTGCACCATGGAGAAGTGGAATTAGCCAGACCTGTGAAAAGGATCATGGGAATTCCACAGCAGGCCACGCCAGAGCACGCTGCATCAGCTCAGAGTGACCAGTGTGTCCGTGCTGCCCAGTGGCCCTCTCTGCTGGGGTGCCCTCTAGTCTGCAGTCTAGTCTAGTCTCTAGTCTGAACGTTACACATGGTCCTGTTTGTACCACATCACCCCCCTCCATCGAGCACAGTCTTCCTAACGGCTGCTTGAATCGGACAACCACTCCTTCAAAGCCCAGCGTTTTGAAACCGGTGACGAGTAGATCTGTGTTTGTGCTTGTTTCTTAAGTCAGTTATTTGACCGAATTTGCAAAAGCAGATGATGAGACTGGGTGAATCCCTGACCTCCTTCCGGTCGCCACAAACTGGGTTTGAGTGACTAGTGCCTAAGCTCTGCCTAGAAGTCCATCTTTGTCTCCAGAGGACACCTCTCCCGATGGGTTTCGGCTGGGCAACATCTGCTTGTTTTTGTGAAACTGACGCAAGGGAAAATGTATTTAAGTCAAAAATAACCAGCATGATGGTTTTTCCTTGCCCCACATATTTTTTAGATAAACACTTGGCATCTGAATGATTGTCATTGTTACACAGATACGTGTTGTAAAAAGACTGGGAATTTTTGTTTACAAGATGTCTTCTAAAAAAGCTGGAATACACACACAAAACAGTATGGGTGGCTCTGCAGTCTACTTTTTATATTTAAAAATGCAATGCTGGAACAGATTGCTTTAAAATGTGCCCAGATAGTGCTTTTATGGCAGTTTCCCAGAGATACTGATATAAATAAACACGAGAGGGGTTAACCGAAGGTCAGTGCAATTCTCTGCATGAACGTGCTGTGGTTGTTCCTGCTGCTTTAGATATAGAATAGTGAGCATTCTTCAGAGTCTCAGATAGACAATGAAAACACCAATCAGAGCGCAATACAAGCTAGGAAGACTTCTCTGGGCTCCAGTGTGATGGTGTTATTATAGTGTTCCTGTGAGGATTCTTGGATTGCACCAAGAGAGAAGTGTTAGTAACCAGTTGGGAAGGCAGCAGATGAAATGCTGAGCCAGACAGCCTGTTCTCCTATGCTACAGGCCACTGGGTCTTTCTACAATAGTTTCTTCGCAAGCAAAATGGAAAAGCCCCGGGTCTGCTCTCCACACGTGTGTTTCAGGCTGTACTGAGAGGCCCCTGGCCAAAGATCCCCACTCCGCTACCTGACGCAGACGACAGAGGTGCTGTAATACACACTGAGCAGACACAGCTCTGGGATCCAGAGGGCAGGGGGTCGACCAGCAGCCTCCTCCAGACGAAAGTCCCAGGAGCATTTCATGAACAGCAGCCCACTCTTTTGCCCCTCAAGACTACTTATGGCCCACAGGCCACTTTTCAGAGTATCTCTGAACACTACTGGGGATAATCCTGCAACTTTAAGTAGGCTAAAAATAGATTTAATGTGCATGATACTGTGTGAAATGACAACATTCTGTAATGCAAATTCCTAGAATACCATGACTTTTCTTGTCTTATATCTTATATTGTACTGAATAGCCATTTAAAGAGTTGTGTATGTATTGTCACCTGGCATTGTAGGTGCTATTTCCGGATATAGTTTGTATAAAGAGATCTTTATCTTCTGTATGTACATGGTCTCCAGTCACATCCACCAAGCACTGCAAAGCTCTGTCTGTTGAGGTGACTCAGTATTGATAACCCCTGTAGGAAAATTAATAAACCGTCTTTTTGAGACCAGCTATTCCTCATCTGATCCGCAGTGGCGCCCTCCTCTCCCAGAGGACGTCCTCTGAGCACCTGACCGTGCAGTTCAGACTGCAGAGTAATCACTGCGCTGTGGGCCTCTGGCTCCTCTCTGCTGCAGCCTTTGCGCACAACTCAAGTACCGTACGACTAAGCCGCGTGTCTCCTGATAGCTGGGCGTGATGGCGGCGCTGGCCCGGTTAATCAGTGATTTCGCTGTGACGCAAACGTGTGACGAAGTTTTGGGTTTGCCGAGCTGACTGTGATAAGGTTGGAGTTATAATAGTGGAGGGATTGTGTTTCCTTTTAAACTGCTGCCATTTGTCTTTTTGTCCTTGCACTCTTGGGATTTCTAGCTCCAGTGGTTGAGTGTTAACTGCCAGGTTAGGCCTAGTTAACAGAGAGCTCATTGGGAGAGCAAGAGAGACTGACTGCACAGGTGTTGGAGAGGTAACAGTTGTGGGGTACCCAGTAGACCCCCAAATGTCTTTGTGGTTCCGAATTGAGATTTCGTTATCAGCAAGCTGCAAATGAGCCAGTGTTGCTGTTAACTTTTTCAGCTGGTCATTTCCTGTCTTGTTGGGGGTACAAACAGACACGCACAGCTGACCTCAAGTGAGTTGGATATGGGCCCTGTTCTAGTATTGTTTGTTTTGTTTGTTTTTTAAGAATAACACAGCCCACAGCACAGATCAACAATGTGCTCATCCAAGCTCAAATTGGACGTTTTGCTGCAAAGCCCCCAGAAAAGCAAT